GTGGCGTGGCGTGGCGGTGAGCAGCGGCGGCAGAGCCCCGCAGGAGGCGGCAGCAGGGACATTCCCACGGCGTGGCGGCCGCGAGAGAGAGAGAGAGTGGGGGAGGGGGGGTGAGGGCAGGAGAGAAAAACTACTCGCCGTAGGGAATACTCATACCGCGACGACATTAGAGGAGGTGTGGTCTTTCTCCATCGGCTGCGATGATCTCCCGTCAGGTGTGAGTCCCGTCCTCGCCGCGTCCCGCTCTCGCTGCGGCCAGCCGCCGTCGGGGACATTATCTCAGCCTCCGGCTGTCTCCTCGGGTGATGGCGTTGTTACACTTACAACTTACACCCCCATGAAATTTTGTAAAAACTTTTCGCGTACTAGATGTTCTTTGAATGCACTTTCTTGTGTTGAGAGCATTCTACTCAAGTAAAATCGATACTACCTAACCAAATACGCTTATCTGCCACGTATCCTCGACAAACCCGCTTAACTGTAGCCTAGTGCCGACAAACTCGCTTAACTGCGCCAAGTGCTGGACAAACCCGCTTATCTGTACAGGGAATCATATGCAGTTAAGCGGGTTTGTCCAGCACTGGGCGCAGTTAAGCGAGTTTGTCGGCGCTAGGCTGCAGATAAGCGGGTTTGCCGGGGACACGTGGCAGATAAGCGGATATGGTTAGGAGGTATCGAAATGAAGGTGAAGAGGGTGACCCCGAGGGCCTCCCCGGCGGTGCCGTTGCCGTTGCCCTGCGCGGTGGACGCTCACGTGCAGCCACGCGGCGGCAGCGGTATACACACGGGCTACAGGATGGCGTTTTGCTGCCTCATTTTTGGCGGTCGGTCGGCGCGGGCCGGGCCGGGCCGCGATGGTATCCCATAGCAGCAGGACGCCGAGGTGTTCGCCGCGCCCCGCCCCGCTCATGCCTCGATGCAATTATAATTACCGTTAATTACGAATCCGAGCGGCGCGGCGTGCGGCGCTGGGCCCCGGCCGGCCCCCTCGAGAGGAGTACGCACGATGTAGCGGCCGCCGCGGCCTGTGCGTGCGTGTGGAGGGCGGGGCGGCAGCGGCAGCACAGCGGCAGCACAGCGGCAGCAAACAGAGCGATCCCGTTCCGAGATCCTCTCCTCCTCAACGACGTTTGAAAAGTGCGGCGGCGGCGGCAGCAGGCGGCAGCGCGCCGAGGAA